AAGGCCCGAGGGCAGGTGAGCGGAGCCAAGGGCTCGCCCCAGGGGCGCCCATCCTGCAAGACCCTGAGCTCAATCTTGAAGACCAGGGTGGGGGAGGTGAAGAGCTAGAGAAAGGAGCCTAGTTGGACCTCCCACCCTCCCATCCCTGCACCCCTGCACCCCTGCACCCCTGAGCCGGCGCCTCAGGCCAAAGCAGTTCTCTGGCGAATCCAAGCCCCATCGCCCGCTCCTGAGAAGCCAGGAAGGCCAGGATTGGGCGGCCTCCTGCCCTGAACGGACCCGAGGACCCCAAGCCCAGCAGGCACACAGAAAGCGGCCGGGCAGGGCGTTGGCACCGCAGGGCAGCGCCAGGAGAAGGGAAGGCGCCGCCACCCTGCGCCTCGGGCGCCCTGGTGCACGTGTCCGCAGCCCCATTCCCCTCGGCGGAGCGCCTCCGTCCCTCGGCCGCCTGTGCGGTCCCTGGGCCTGGACCTACGTCAGCCTGTGGGTTTGTCCCGGTGCCCGTCTGGCCGTGGGTCTCTCCGGCCACCTCTGGCTCTCTCCCTGGGCGGGCTGTCCGGCCGCCGGCCGCCCCTGGCCTGGAGCGCCACCTCGTGGGCGCGTGAGGAATTGCCGTTGCCCGCAGTCAGGGCCGCTGCTGGCCGAGCTGCGGAGGGTCCCAAGGAGGGGGCAGGGAAAGAGGGGCTGCCGCAGGCTGCGGGAACCCGGTGCCGGGGCGGGGGGAGGGGCGGGGCGAGCGGATCTACACCTCCAGAGAGCCCAAAAGGAGCTCCAGGAGCAAGTCCGAGTCCCAGGCGCGGTTGGGCAGAGACGTCAATGCATTTAGTGAGGGGTGGCCAGGCCGCATTCCCAGAGGGCACCCACAGCTCAGGGTCCTTTCCCTTTGCCCCCTTCCCCGGGCGCTCACAGGTCTCCCCTCTGCTGCCCAGTCCCTGGAGCACGGAGTGTTTGGCCACTCGCTGGACCTCGGCTGCCCTACTCGTGCTCCAAACTTTGGAGCCGAAGACCGCAAAGGAGGGAATGGAGTGGGACTGGGTTTCCCGAAGTGGGGGGCGGAAGGCAGGCTCACAGTTTAAACCTCGGTCACAGGGAGACGGTGTCTCTTGAACCGTCGTAGGGCAGGGAGATTGGGGGTTGGGAGGGGGAGGGGGACGGGCTCTAGCTGGGGCTTTCACCTGTGGGTGTCCTGGGTGTCACCAAGCTAAATGCGCCCCTCTGGATCCAAGGGGTGCCCTGTGTGGGCGTTCGCGTTACGCTGGGGAGGTGGCCCCCAGTGCTGCGCTCTTCCGTAGGGCAGGGCCACGCGGCTAACACTCAAGGTCTCTCCCCCCCAGCATTGGTCTGGGAGGTGGGGAA